AAGGATTTTAAGGACGTTGAAAACAGCCCCATTCATTCTCAATGGGAAAAATGTGGCTGAAAAAGTGAAACAGCTAAAAAAAAGTATAAATAGCTGAGACACCAAAAGTCATAGCTGGAATGTCCTGAAGGAGCTGAATGTTTTGATGTATGAGTTGTTAAAAGAGCACAGAAACCCTCAGTTTCCTCCTGTCCTCTCCAGGAGAGGCCTGYTGGTGGACCATCCATCCCGCCTCCAAGCAGAGGTCAGAAGGTGAAAAGGTCAGGGTGGGAGACGACCTGATTCTCGTCAGCGTGTCGTCTGAGAGATACCTGGTGAGGCTGTTTCTGCTCCATCCCTCCTGTCCACAGGTCAGCTGCTGAACTCTGTCCCTCTGTCTCTGTCCTCAGCATCTGTCCTACGCCAGCGGAGACCTGATGGTGGACGCCTCCTTCATGCAGACCCTGTGGAACATGAACCCCATTAGTTCAGGATGTGAACTGGCCGAGGGTAAGAACCTGCTCAAACCTTTGAGGCTCCCTGTCCTTCCTCAGCACTGAGGCACAGACTCTGTGTGTTTCAGGGTATCTGACCGGCGGTCACGTCCTCAGGCTCTTCCACGGACACATGGACGAGTGCCTGGCCATCCCCACTCCAGAGGAGGGGGAGGAGAARCGCAGGTGAGGAGGAACACACAGGTGAGTGATCTGCTGAGGTCACGTGACTGGTTCTGTTCACTGTGTGCTGCAGGACGGCTCACTACGAGGGCGGCGCCGTGTGCAGTCAGGCCCGGTCCCTGTGGAGGCTGGAGCCGCTCCGAATCAGGTGACAGAATCAAGTTTATTTAAAGGAGAAACAGGGATATGAGTCCCTGTATGATAAGATATGTAAAGTTTGTAGTTCTCGTCACTGAAACACTGTTCTGGTCTCAGTTGGAGCGGCAGCCACATGAAGTGGGGCCAGTCCTTTCGTATTCGACACATCACAACGGGTCGGTACCTGTGTCTGGATGAGGACAAGGTCCTGAACGTGGTCGACCCGGAGAAGGCCAACACCAAAGCATCCGCCTTCAGCTTTCGTATCTCAAAGGTCAGAGTTCACGCTCTGAACCTGTCCAGACGTCCTTCTGTGCTCCTGTTTTTATTCCTGTCCTCCTGTTTTTATTTCTGTCCTCCTGTTTTTATTTCTGTCCTCCTGTTTTTATTTCTGTCCTCCTGTTTTTATTTCTGTCCTCCTGTTTTTATTCCTGTCCTCGTATTTTTATTCCTGTCCTCCTGTTTTTATTTCTGTCCTCATGTTTTTATTTCTGTCCTCACTGGTTTTCTTCCTGTCGCCTGTCCTCCCCCCTCGAGCAGGAGAAGGTGGACGTGGCCCAGAAGAGAGACGTTGAAGGGATGGGCATTCCTGAGATAAAGTACGGAGAGTCCATGTGTTTCGTCCAACACGTGTCCACAGGCCTGTGGGTCACCTACGCTGCTCTGGATGCTAAAGCTGCTCGTTTAGGAATGATGAAGAGGAGGGTGAGAACACACACAGAAAGTCACCATTACTGCTCATAACCTTTAGCTACCATTCAGCTACTTTTAGCATTTAATGTTACCATTCAGCTACTTTTAGCTTTTAAATCTATTTTTCTGCTACTTTTACCTTTTAAAGTTACCATTCAACTACTTTTAGCATTTAATGTTACCATTCAGCTACTTTTAGCATTTAATGTTACCATTCTGCTACTTTTAACTTTTACAGCTATTATTCATCTACTTTTAGCTTTTAAAGCTACCATTCAGCTACGTTTAGCTTTTAAAGCTACCCTTCTGCTACTTTTAGCTTTTAAAGTTATCCTTCTGC